TCATCAGCATAACCAACATTCTAAGCATCACAGATTAAAGTTCCTGTGACACTTACATTGGTAGGAAAGGGCCTGCCAATAAATTATTCCAAACACACTTAGGGTGGCAGACTGCTGACGGGAAGCTGCTCCTGGCCACAGGACCTTGGTGCTCAAAGCCACAGAGGAAACCCAGGCCCACCCAGCAGCCTAGCTTACCGCCACAATGGGGAGGCTGCTTCCCACAGTTCGTTCCCCCTGCCACACTGTGAGCCCTCGCCCGGTCACTGTGGCTGGGCCCTCTCGAGGCTGTCACTCCTCTCCCTGTCCCGAGAGGGTTGGATCAGAGTCCAGGCAAGATCCCAGGCAGAAGTACCTTTGCTTCCCTAGCCCCTGCACGCTTCAGAAAACTCACAGGCAAGAGAAGTCCCCAGAATGTCCCTTAGAACTCAGGACCCTGTGCCCTCACCCCACAGGGGGCTCTGCAGCTGGGTGGTCCACTGAGGGACACAGGAGCCACCCCACATCGCCACCAGGCTACACAAGCACTCTCTTCACGACGGGTTCTCACAAAGCCTCATGAACTCCAAACCCACTGCCGTCGAGTCAACCCCGACTCACAGTGACCCTACAGAGTAGGGTGGAACTGCCCCTGCGTGTTTCCAAGACTGCACCTCTGCAGTCTTTCTCTTTCTCCCTCGGAGCCGCTGGTGGTCTTGAACTGCTGACCTGGAAGTTAGCAGCCCAACGTGTAAAACCACTGCTTGTCGTCCTTGTTGCCGGGTGCCATTGAGCTGGCTCCACCACCACAGCGACCCTGTGCACGAGTGAAAGAAATGCTGCCCGGTCCTGCGCCAGCCTAGCCATTGTTCCTATGCCCGCGCCCACTGATGCGCCCACTGTGTGCATCCATCTCACTGAGGCCTTCCTCCTTTTTCTCCGCCCCCCACTTTCCCAAACCCGGTGTCCTTCTCCGGGGACTGGTCTCTCCTGACAGTGTGTCCAAAGTACGTGAGACGCAGTTATCGCCATCCTTGCCTCGAGGGAGGCCTCCTGCTTGTCCTTCTGCCAACAGAGATGGGCTTCTCCTTCCAGCGGTCCGCGGTACGTTCAGCATTCTCCTCCAGCACCGCCAGTCAAATGCATTGCTTCTTCCAAGTCTTCCTCATTCAATGCCCCACTTTTCACTTCGTAGGAGGCGATGGAGGATGCCATGGCTTGAATCAGACACACCTGAGGCCTCAAAGTAACATCCTTACTTTTCAACACTTTAGAGAGGTCTTGTGCAACAGATTTACCCAAGGCAATACATCTTTTGATCTCTTGACTATTGCTTCCGTGAACACTCATTGTGGATCCAAGCAAGGCAAAACCTTGGCACCTTCAACCTTTTCTCCATGGATCATGATGCTACCTACTGGTCCAGTTGTGAGGATTTTGATCTTCTTGACAATGGGTTGTAATCCATCTTGAAGGTCATAGCAAGTGACCTTGATCTCCATCAGCAAGTGCTTCAAGTCCTCCTCCCTTTCAGCCAGCACAGTGGTGTCAACAGCACACGGCAGGTGGTTAATAAGCCTGCCTCCATTCCGAGGCCCTACATAGACTCCGTATCTGTTCTGCACACACTCCAGCTTCGCTGGCAATTTGTTCAGCATTTAGATTGAACAGGTGTGGCGAGAGAGGACATTCTCCCTGATTTGAAACCATCCACCATTCTCTTGTTCTGTTCACACCTCTCGACTCAGGTACAAGTTCCGAATGAGCACAACGAAGCGTTCTGGAATTCCCACTTTTCTCAAGG